ACAAGGATCGACTATTTCTTGTTGAACAAACAAGCCTTACCCCTTTTTCAATCTGCATCGGTAGTCAGGGGCGCCGGTTTCCCTAATCACTCGCCGTGCACGCTTACCCTGAACATTGAGCCTTTTCAAACCAGTATTTTAGTTCTCAAGCCTCACCCTAAATGGTCGCTTGAATCCCTGCCCCGTACAGAGTCCGAGTGGGAAGAGCGTGAGAGCGCAATCAAGCCAATACTTGATGAGTTTATGCCGTCCCTTATTCAACATGCTGAGTCCTGTGATGTTGAGGGCTTGTGGACCACTGCATGTGCCACAGTCACCAGCATGCTTAATGCAATTACGCAGCAATCAGTCCCCTCAACTAGAGGTAAGATTCCTACGTTTAGGAAGGCTCCGTTGTTCAAGCGCGACATTCACAAACGCTCTTCCAGTTGCTTTAACACTGCCCTCAGATTGGTGCATGAGATTCGATGCAAGGCTAGAGCATGGAAAGGTGATGCGTCTTCAGCGTGGACCTCACAACTGTATGCTACTGTTTCCAACGCCTCTAAAGTAGCAGCGAAATGTGGAGTGCATGCAATGTTCAACACAATGTCACCCTTACAGTTGCAAGCCTCATGTGCATCCATTGAGCAAGAGTTGGTGCATGCTTTAGATGCTTGTGAGACATCTCGGAAACAACAGCTTATCGATCAGTGGAAGAATAAGTTGAAATTGTCTGCGCGAGGCAATAAATCCAGGGTCCACAGATGGCTTAAAGGTGAACGTGTCGGTCAACCCAGGTTTTTCCGTCGCGACGACAATAGCATTACGACTGATCCTAACGAAATGTTGGACATGATCTCTGACCACATGGAGTCGATATACAACTATCATGCTGACAAAGATGTAGATAAAATGGAGAGTGACTTTTATGAAAAGTATCAAGCAGCTATTGACAACATAGCAGCTGACGCCGTTGTCCCAAGTATTGCCCATGATGACTTGTTTCGGCTGTTTCAGAAAAAGAGTAGTTTCAAAGCTTCGGGTTTAGACGGTTGGAAGGTTTCAGAGCTTCAACAGTTACCACCGTCTGGATGGATCCCTTTTGCTCTGGTCATGAAGCTAGCTGAAGCCACGGGTACATGGCCAGAAGCGCTTAAGCTTGTTAGTGTTGCTTCAATTTCAAAAGGTGTAGATATGTCTACTCCTAAGAACATTAGATGTATCGGCATCGCATCTGTCATTTATTCGCTGTGGTCGTCGTTGCGTTATCGTCATCTTGCGCAATGGCAAGCTTCAGTGTTTCCCCCAAGTTTAATTGGAGGCATTTGTGGACGCAATGGAGATGAATCGGAATGGCTCTTATCAATGGATCTTCATAGTGAGCATACCGACACCATGGCACTGTTCTTGGATCGTTTTAAATGTTTCGATATGGTCATACCACAAGTTTCATTAGGTATTGCCAAACGACTTGGGTTGCCAGAGCACATTCACAGGGCTACTTTGGGTTTTTACGCGAGACAAACCAAGTTCTTCAAACTAGGCAGTGCGTTCGGTAGAAGGGTTCTTTCCAGTAACTCTGCGGTGCAAGGCTGTAGCATGTCCATTGTTATGGTGAATTCAGCATATGCTGTTTTTGCTAACGTATTGAGCACCGTATGCCCTTCCATTTCACTGAGGTCGTTCATTGATGATGCTAAGTTTTGGACCGCTGAACACAACCACGCGGAGTTAGCTGACGCTTTATGTTGTGTTGAGCAGTTTGACCAGAGCATCGGGCAAGTCCTCAATCCGGAGAAGACAACACTGATGACAAAACGCAAAGCAAAAGCTGACAGGTTTCTTAGAGAGGTAGGTCGTCAAAATTTTTGTCGTAAGAAAACTGTTAAATCTTTAGGCTTTACACAGTCGTGCAAACTCAAAGGAAGCGTTGCTATTCAGAATGGTAGGGCTGCGAAGGCTTGTCAGATGTTGCGGAAGATTGCCGTTTTACCTTTGTCGCAGCAGCAGAAAGAAATCCACATTCACTCCAATGCTCATTCCAAGTGGGTATATGGGTCTGAAATACAAGCCCCTTCTGCGCGCGTCCTTCACAGCATTCGCTCAGCCGTTGTGGCTTGTCTTTTCAAAAAGAACCATGTTCGGTGTCCGTTCTTGAGCATGGCCACACGGGCAGATCCTTTCCTTGACCCTTTTGGTAAGTGGGTGTTGCATGTATTTTCTAAGCTTCGCAAAATGATTCGTAGCAACCCAGTTTTAGCAGCCAGAGTTTTGCAAGACGCACAAGGACTTGTTGGTAGGGTGCAACACACCAGCAATGGCGTTGCAGCAGTTTTTGCGTTTCTTTGTCAGGAGTTGCAATGGTCCATTGTCGATTCGGAAAACTTCGTCATTAAAACCCCGCAGCGCGGAGAAATCTGCTTGGCAGCGGGAAGCACTCAACACTTCAGAGAGGAGTTAGGCGTTGCGGTTCGAACTTTCCTGTTACGCAAAGCTTCGCTCCGGCATGACTGCCAGCTTCCGGCTAACATTCCGGACATTGACATCTTCTTGACAAGGTTCTTGATGGAGTCAGACTTCCGGTCTGACGAGGACTTTCACTTCTTGAAGCCCTTTTTACAGCGGTTGCCGTCCAATCATGCCCACACGCGTGCTATTCTTGAGCTGCTTATCACAGGCGGCATTTACACCGGACCGCGACTCAAAGCCGCTGGTATGACTCAATCGGATGACTGTTTTTGCAAGCAGCATGCAGAAACTCATCACCATCTGTTTTTGGAGTGCCCATTATACGCAGCTACCAGGCCAATCAGGGGTGAAGAGAATGCCGTATCGTGGACCGCCGGCATTTTCTTCTCCCCGAGTGATGCCTTTGCTTCAGAAAGGTCCCATGACCACTTGCTTGACTTCCCCGAGATTTCCGAGACCTTCTCAGTTGATGAGCCTGTTTTTCTGGACGGCTCTGCTTTTCATGAAAAGTGGCCAGCTTTACGTTCCGCGGCAGGTGCTGTCGTGGTTCCAGGGAAGATTGAAATGTCAGTGCTTTTGCCAGGAAGGGACCTTACATCCCAGCGTGCTGAGCTGTATGCCGCTGTCTTGGCGCTTAAGCTTATTCACGGTTCCGTTACATTGGTCAGCGACTGCGCAAGTGTTGTTGACAGGGCGACCTCCCTTAAGCAACATGGGTATCGTTATGAAGATATTGCACAGTTTGACAATCACGATTTGTGGACCGCTTTTCTTGAAGAGGTCCACAAAAGACCGAACTGCAACATTACCTTCGTCAAAGTGAGGGCCCATGTTCCACGAGGCTACACAGGACAGCCTGAATACTTGACGCGTGGCAATGAGCTTGCCGATCGGTGTGCGAAACGGAAAGCACGTGAAGCCTTCGTCAAAAACTTGCAAGAGCTCAGGCCCTTCATTCACAGGGCTGTTGACATTCAATCTCATGCCGTATCAACGCTGGTCTTGAGGAAAGCCGAGTCTGAAATAGATATGGCTCCAGACTGCACAGTGTCTGCACCTTTTCGGAATACCGTGATGTCGTGCAAGTGTTTGTGTCGCCCTTCAACTCGTGTCAAACGTAAAATGAGTCCGGTATGTACTGGGTGTTGTATCATGCAAGTTGGTGGGTTGGAAGAAGCTCTGCTGGATAGTGTTTGCAATAGGAGACGCTTCGACGACACAATCTCCGAGAGACTTTGGTCTCTCCATCCGGCATTCCGAAGAGTTGTGTTCTTCAACGGTATTCTTAGTCCTCCTGTTCAACCCGTTAATTGTG